ATTCCCTTGAATAACTAACACACATAATTATTTGTTTGGCAGAAAGCATTAATCCCATTATGGTGTTTTGGCCAAGATGAGAATAATATACATATTCTCTAGAACTGTCTAGGGAGAATTCCTTCTTCAACCATTATTTCTCCATACCTTTACAGTACTGATGTCTTATCTAACATTCTAATAAAATGCAACCCTTTTCTACTTTAAAAAACTTGAATTTTTCCAAGCCATAAGTCTTACTGCATTTTTAAATTTGCATTCCAAGAAAGCCTATTTCCTCTATCTTCACCTTATTTGAATGAAAGAGTGCCAGGTTTGTCTAGAAACTTTGTAACGATTTTAATAAATGTATAATTATATTTAACATGCTATATTTACAGGGCACATGACAATTAATTCCACATATAATCTTTCCATTCTATCTTGTTTTGCACAGAGCCTATGGAAACAAGGAGAACGTGTGTTATTGCTCTGGGTTTTAAAAAGGGGTCAGCGCCCAGCATGGCTGAGAGACAGGCACATCCACGTGCCATGTTCTGATGCCGAGTCCAATCTTCTTTCCTTTCAAAATGGCCATTTGTGAACTGACGCACATGTGTTTCTATTTCTCACACCAATTTCAGACCTATTTGGAACCCACCTTCACAGCTTATGGATTATTTTTAAGATTCTAAAACAAAAATAAAAACTTATCATCTTTGACATTAAAAAGGCCCAAAGAGGACTCCAAGCTTCTACTAGTAGGAGACACCAGGATGCACTTTTTATTCTGTTACTTGATGTGGTTTGGATGGTTTGTCCTCTCCAGAACTCGCGCTGAAATGTGACCTCCAGCAGTGGAGGTGGGCCTAGTGGGAGGTGTTTGAGCCATGGGGGCAGATGCTTCATGAATGGTTTGGTGCTGTCCTTGCTGCAGTAATGAGTGAGTTCCCACTCTATGAGTTCACGCGAGATCTGGTTGTTTAAAAGAGCCTAGCCCCTCCTCCCTCACTGTCTTGCTCCCTCTCTCTCTCTTGCTCCTGCTCTCACCATGTGACACGCTGGCTCCCCTTCAGCTTCCTCCATGAATGGAAGCTTCCAGAGGTTCTCACCAGAAGCAGATGTCAGCACCATGATTCCTGTACAGCCTGCAGAACCATGAGCCAATAAACCTCTTTTCTCTATAAATTATCCAGTCTCAGGTATTCCTTTATAGCAACACAAACGAACTAAGACATTGCTGAAGAAACAAGATGTGTTTATGCTTCTTCAAGCACCTGTGATGCAGAGCCTCATCCAGGAAGGGCAGGAAACAGCCCCAGGAGAAAGATATCCAGCAGCCAGACATCCCAGAGGGGGCTGCAAAGTCCCTGAAGGCCTGACCCATGGGGGATGTCCTAATAAATCTGGGACTGAAAATGTGTTAGTCACTTCCTAAGCACAGACGCGCTTTTGTTTCTGATAGATAAGACTGCAGTCTTTATTACTTTAATATTGCATCTACTGTCTCAAAACACAAAGCCCTCAATATCTGAGGGTTTACAATAATTCTCAATGGCATTTAACCTGGGCACCAACATAGTAAGTAGCTTCTAGGAGGATACCTTCTGCCTCTACCTTCCCTCTCTCCTCTCTTTCTTTCTCTCCCTCTCTCTCTGCCTGTCCCTCTCTCTTCCTCATCCTCGTCTGTCTCCCTCTCATTCTGCCTCCGCCCCCACCCCACCAGTTTGTCCCAAGGGCTGGTGCTCCTTGGTACCTGCTGGTTTGGGTTTTTTTTGGTGATGGTGTTGCTGCATCCCCTGTCCACAGTCTTTTACTCTTTTCAGGTCTTTTTCTCCACTCCACATCCTTGATCCTACTGTCATTTGTAAGATGCAGACAAGCTTCCTTTCCAAGTAACGGCAACTCCTCCTGTAGCAGTGTGTTTTCTTCACTCATGCCAAGACCTCTCTGAAGAACCTGAGAAGTCTGCAGAGCGTCCGGGAAGGGGTCTTCAAATGTACTTGCTGCAAATGGTCAACCTGTTCCCTGATTTTTTTTTTCCCTATCTCTTACCAGCAATTGTGGGAGTGGAGACAGGGCTTATTTACCAACCCATTTTTAACCCATGAATCTCAGGACCTGTGTTAGTCTGTTCTCACACTGCTAGAAATACACAGCCAAGACTGGGTAATTTATAAAGGAAAGAGGTTTCGTTGACTCACAGTTCTGCATGACTGGGAGGCCTCAGGAAACTTACGATAAGGGAGGAAGGTGAGAGAGAAGCAAAGTCATGTCATACATGGCAGCAGGTGAGAGAGAGTGAGCAAAGGGAGAAGAGCCCCTCATAAAACTATCAAATCTCGTGAGAACTTACTCACTATCACAAGAACAGCAAGGGGGAAACCAGCCCCATGAGTCAATCACCTCCCACCAGGTCTTGCCCTCAACGCATGGGGTGATGGGAATTACAATTCGAGATGAGATTTGGATGGACACAGAGAGCCAAACCATATCAGGACCCAACTATCATTCCAAATCCCTCATCACTCTAAGCCCTGAGGCTCTCTTGCAGATAAGATACCAGGTAGCCCATCCTGATGTCCCAAGAGTCCTGTGGGAGACAAGAATATTAAGACTCAGCGACAACCTCACAACCCTGGAAAGCTACCAGGTACTGTGGATTCTCTGTGCTCACCATGGCAGCAGGGTCTTTACAGCCACTGCTGTGCAAGAGGGCACATTGGAGCTGATTTGGGTTTGTAAATAATGACCAAGTTTGCAGCAAGAAGGCTTTGAGGATGGAATCAATCTAGACAGGTGGATCTTGCAGGAGGCGGAAAGGAGATGAAGCTGACAGAGCAATCAAAGCATAAAGGGGAGAAGGAATGTGGCACAGAGAAGCAGAAGTGCTTGCAACAGGGGCTCCAAGTGAATCATAATAATACTGATGACTGGGAAAAAATAAGTTAGAGAGACAGAGCGGGACTGGAATGCTGAGCCTGAAAATGTGAAGAAACAGCTATTTATTGGATGAGGTAAGAAAAAATAGACAGTAATAATTAATTTCAGAGCAGGAAGGTGACATGATGAAAGTAGTGTTGTAAAAATAGTAGCCCTATAGAATCATTTAGAATGCATCCCAGTGGGAAGTCTTTTCAAAAGACCACTAAAATAATTCAAACTTGAAAGGGAGCTCAGCTTTAATGGCATGGAAAGAAGAAAATAAATCCAAGATAATTTTTTTTTTTTTTTTTTTGAGACAGAGTCTCACTCTGTCGCCCAGGCTGGAGTGAGTGGCACGATCTCAGTTCACTGCAAGCTCCGCCTCTCAGGTTCCCGCCATTCTCCTGCCTCAGCCTCCCGAGCAGCTGGGACTACAGGCACCCGTCACCACGCCCAGCTAAATTTTTTGGATTTTTAGTTGAGACAGGGTTTCACAGTGTTAGCCAGGATGGTCTCGATCTCCTGACCTCGTGATCCGCCCGCCTCGGCCTCCCAAAGTGCTGAGCCACGGCGCCCAGCTGAGAAATTTTTTAAAGAAGAACTTTTTCGATTAATTTGTAATGAACTAAGTATGGGGTAAGAGAGATTATCACCTCCTAAGTTTAAGAAACAACCCACAGAACAATTCTGGATTCATTAATTCATTATACTATTAATGGGAGAAAGTACTATATTCTTGTTTCTCTTGGTTGACCAGGCACAAGAACAAAAACATTCTTATAGTTTTTAATGTTGCCTAAAGATTTAACATTTCTGGCATTTTCAATATTGCATCAGAAATTCTCTATGTCATATGTTATGTAGAAAAACCAGTTTATTATTTCTCCAATTTATCTACAGACAATGAGCCTATTGCATTTATATCTTCACTTATGCTTTACTTTCAGGAGGTTGCACCTGAACATTGAAGACTATTCAATCAACACAGGCTGGTGGGTGGTAAATGCAATGTCATTTCATGATACACTTGAGAATAGTATTTTCTCCCTCAAAAATTGAATAAATGGCATACAAGGACATCCAGCTCTGATTTTAAATTCAAATGATAAACCTGCTGAAATGTGTATATTAAAAAATACATTGTATTCTTCAACTATAGCTTATATGATTTCTCTTTCTTCATTTCACACCATTCTTCCAATTCACATAATCACAATATCCTTCGTATGACAATTCAGTAGAATCTTTCAACTCCGAAGTCAATGAAAGTGGTCACATAAAATATATCTGACTGTCAAAATTGCTCTAAAATTGTCTATGGTTACATTTGCCCCCGGCCAAGCAATCAATTAAGAACCTGAGCATCAGGATATATTGCTGCTAAAACGTTTATGGTAATATCTGGATTTGTGCAATTAATTATTACAGAACCTTCACTTTGTAACTCTGAGATTCAAAGGAATATGCTACTACTTCAGCCTGATTCCATCCCCAGTCTTGTCCTGGAAAACACAGATGGAAACGACAGTAGTGCTGAATCAAAGCTTATGTAGAAGGCACTGAGCTCAGCTCTTTCTATGAATTGTCTGATTTAATACTCTAACAACACCATGGTGGGTACTATTTCAGTCTCTCTTTTACAGAAAATAAACTGAATCATAGAGTTTCAGCAACTTCTCCAGGAATACTCACTAGCAAGCTATACATGGTTCACTGATATAAGTCTTGTGAGTGAGTTGTACACAGTACACTATCCATGCTCCGAGAAAGACGAAGACAACAGCAATACACAGGAAGACATCCTAAGGTGATGACACATGAGATGGGTGCTAGCAGAATTTGGATTTCTAGGGAAACACAACAGGAATCCAAGATCTTGTGTATAAGACCCTTATAAAGAAGAAATACACAAAGGTTTAGTTGCTAAGCCCAGGACACTTAGACAACATTCTCATGACTCAAGTACTGAAGTCTCAATACCGTGAACAATCGCTCGCTCGCTCGCTCTCTCTCTCTCCCCTCCCCGCCTTTCCTTCACCCTACATCCACAGAGGCTACCACAAACTTACTATATCTTTAAGATCCCAAACTCTTACCAATTTTTTTCAGCAGTTTTCCTTGCCTCCCAATTCGCTATGCACAGAAAAAATGCCCATCTTGACACCGTCCTTGTTCTTCAGCCCTGGGGAGAGGGAAGAGGAGAGAAGAGGAGAGGACTCTTCAGATGAAGGAAGAGCATTGCAAGGTCTCACAATCCAAGAATAAAGGCTCCATATACTTACCATCCCTCCAATAAGGAGCCTTTCCATTTTTCCTAGTGTTGTGTTCTACATGCTTCAATGATGACTACATGGTTCTAGAACTCAAAAATTCCATAATTTTGCAAAAGCTGAAGATATAGAATTTAAATATCATTCATTGCATTTTCAAATTTTAAAACCCTGAAATTTTAAACATGTCTTCATATGAACATCTCTCTCTTCCTATAATACTTGCCTTTCCTATAAATATGTCAAACTCAGTTCAGCTTTTCTGAATACAAGAGTGGATTTGCAAAAGGATAGACATTTTCTGCTTTGTTCCAGTATCTCTTGAATTAACATTGTTGATGACTTCATCACAGCAAAATGGCTTTCATTTGTGACTCCCATTTCTTCTTAAACTTTCCCAAGACTGCTTCCCAAACTCAAGCCTTCATTGTCACTGACCTAACCCTGTACAATAGCTTTGTGGTCCCCTATATCATATCTCTGCCTTCAATGGTCTTGCTGCAATGCCTCCTCCACATTACCACCCAGGTATCTTACTACCACATCACATTCATTGGGTTATTTTTCTGCTCAAAAAATTTTGATGGATCCCCTTTTATATAGAACAAAAATCCTTAGCCGGCTGGGCATGGTGGCTTATGCCTGTAATCCCAGCACTTTGGGAGGCCGAGGTGGGTGGATCACGAGGTCAGGAGTTTGAGACCAGTCTGGCCAACACAGTGAAATCCCGTCTCTATTGAAAATACAAAAAAATTAGCTGGCCGTGGTGGCGGGCGCCTGTAGTCCCAGCTACTCAGGAGGCTGAGGCAGAAGAATGGCGTGAACCCAGGAGGCGGAGGTTGCAGTGAGCCGAGATCACACTACTGCACCACTGCACTCCAACCTGGGCGACAGAGCAAGACTCCATCTCAAAAAAAAAAAAGTGAGTAACGCAACAAATGCCCTTTTGCACCAATCTGTAATTGCCAGAAGGAAAATTTCATCTTGATTTCTATTTCATGCTCGACTTCATTCTTAATCTATCAGGGTAATACAGATACCAATTAGAACATGCCCTATCTTTCTTGCCTGTGTTATTTCATCTCCAAATTCTTTTCACTGAGTGTACAGTCTCCAGATCTGCTCATATAAACCCCATCATAGCTCAAGGCTCCATTTGGATTCACCCTCCTCCCTAAACCCACCCTTCAGGTTGAACTTAATTTTCCACATGGATTTTGTCCTTATCTTTATGGTGGACCTTCTGTTCTGAGTTGTATTACAGTTACTTGCACACATGCCTGTAAATCATAAAGAGCTTGACCACGTGCCCCACAAGGAGCCTGACACTTAGCATGTGCTCAAGCAACATGTGTTGCATGTAATTCTTCCCAATGCTGAACTTCAAACTTCTCCATTGGACACTTTCAGGCATTTGTTGGCCAGCTGCACTTCTCTAGTCAATGAGAATAGAGTCTTTGAGATAAAATCCATCTATTGTCTTGTTGGCAGGTCACATATCCAGCCCATCTGTGCCGATGCCACAGACAGCTTGAATAACATCTGTTAGGCACATACATTAATGAGACTCTATGCCCACCTATCTATCAGAATCAAGATGGCAATGAAAGTAATTTAATATGCCACATTCTCTATTCAAAGGCCTGCGAACAATGAAACCCTAAAATATATCATGCCCTCAGTTAATTCCCTTCAGTTAACTTTGAAACTTTGAAACAACCCATTCTAATTGTCTCATAAAAAATAAGCAATCCAAGCTGTATTTGGAGATGGCTGATGATATATTTATTTCACAATGGCCCACAACACTCATTTAGTTTTATCTTTAAACTATCTTACAACTCTATATATTTTGGATACCTCCCTGTTCTCTTCGAAGAACTTATTTCTCTGTCTCTGAGAAGAGTAATTCATTCTAAGGATTCAAGATTATTTTACTCTGTAATTGCCAGAAGGAAAATTTCATCTTGATTATATTTTAAATAATTCACTATAATTTTTAACTTTTATATGTAGTTTGAACTACCATACCAGTTCATTTCCATTGAAATGTTTAATTTGGCATTTGTTTATACTAGCCTTGAGAAAGAAGCATGTTTGGAGAAAACTTTACCTTATGATATTGTCTAATTAACTAGCAAATAATTCTGTATCGCCAGCAGCATTCCCATTGCTAGATGGAATAATATTTCAGCAAGCAGCATATTGCACCTATCAATATATGAAATGGAAACCTAAACACTGGTCTGAGACCTGCGACTGGAGATCATTTGGTGAGGAGCTCATACATATGTGTATAACTTCAAGATGAGGAATTTTTAGTAAATGGGGTCCTCTCATGTTAGATAATCTTCATAAAGTGATTCAAGCAGAAACTTGAGTACTGATTTTATGACCTTTAATCACTTTTTAATGTCTTTCATTGTTATGTTTTGCTGTCTGCTTTGCAGATATATGAAATGTAATAAAGATACAGCAAACAAAATTTAGCTAGAGAATAACAGAGTATAAAATAACCCCAAATTCAAGATAGACATTAGCCTCATTTGAATGACTGAGCCACATGCAAAGGCCACTTAAAATGAGTTAATAATTAAGCACTAATTGAATAACTGGAAATTATAAATATTTAGAAATGTATAGTAGCTTATCCATGATGAAGTATTAGAGAATAATATATGCTATTGTCTTAAGTCCTAATAGCTTGACCATTTCCATTAATTTGAAATGATCAAACTCACATAGTGTCAAAACCAAAACTAGATATCAGCATATTCTACTAGAAATGAGATTTGAATTAATGTCATTAAATACAACTATATGTAGTTATTAAACCGAGATATGAGAGAATTGTATTTTTTCCTTGGAAAATGAATCACTTTTCAGCATAAAATGTGAACAGTAGATACGTCTACCAATACACATCTCACCACAGTGACACACTACACTTGTCAATAAAAGCATATTGTGTTGGTTTGGTTTGTATTGCCATAACAGAACACCACAGATTTGATAATTTATAATTAACAGAAATTAATTGGCTCATAGTTCTGAAGGCTGGAAAGCCCAATATTACGGGCCAACATGTTCAGTGTTGGTGAAGGCCCAGTCTCTGCTCCCAGATGTCCTCTCAAATGCTGCTTCCTCCAGAGGGAAGGAATATGCTTTCTCACATGGCAGAAGAGCAGAAGAGCCAAGACAGAGCTCACTCATTAAAGCCCTTTTATTAAGACATTAAACTCAACCATGAAGGTGGAGCCTTCATGGCCCAATTACTTCTTAAAGGCCCCCCTCCCAATACCATTATGCTGGCAATTCAATTTCAATATGAGTTCGGAGGACACAAATATTTAAATCATAGTATATATGTTATTATCCTTTGACAATTATTCCAAATGTTCTCTATTGGAGGTTTAAAATTATCCAATAGCTAATATAAAAGCATTATTAAAAATAATAATATACGCATTTCATAAGACTTAAAAATGCATCCAAAAAAACCCCAGCAATCAGATTGGGTATACTGAATCCATGTAATGTATAAGAACTTCAATCCAAAAATTCAAAAGATCTCAATTGAAAGGAAACTGATGCGTAACCAACTTTAAGTTGTATTTTGTGTAGCACATAAGTTCCATAAGGACTATTTCCATATTGCTAATTGTCAATATGCATGAACTATACCTGTCCACCTAGAATTCTGCAAATCTACCCACATTTTTGAGAATCATTATCGTTGCTCCTTTTACTGTCAGCTATATAGTTATAAAAATATAATGATTCCATGTTATCAGAATGGAAGTTGTTTTTGTAACCTCTCCAGAACTATAATGCCTACAGTACCGAGGAATCATGGCATTAATTTGTAAAGAATTTGCTGTGACAGTTTGGTTCTTTCATTGTCTCATCTACATCATTTTAAGCAATGACACTGCTTTCTTGAAGGTATTTACCCCTTGTGTGCCTACCTTTTTATTTTAATCATTTTCCAGACTTTTCTTTCTTACCTTTGTAAGAAATCAAAATTACCCTTTGGAAGACAAAACTCATGTTGTTACTTTAAGAGGTGTAAAAAAAAGCTGATGTCATCATGGGAGTTGTGAGACTGTTTGGCTCCAAACGGGGTGCTAAAACAACTCCAAAAGCACATGGGTTCTGCATCTTTGTGAAGATCATCAGGGCACTCTCGCGTGGCAATTTAATTCTAATGGTTGTATTTCCAGGTCTCTGTGAACCATGCAGTCCTTTCAGTTAAACAGAACGAAAATTGGAGCTGAATACCGAGTCAAGGAGTATGAAACCAGTGAGCCACGATGGTGCTAGAAAAAGCCAAGAATATAACATTTGAAAGCACAAATTCACATAGGAGGACATCTAGTGAGTAACGCAACAAATGCCCTTTTGCACCAAAGAAAAAATAAACCTGACCATTAAAAAAGTTATTGCAAGGTCTTTAGCTTGTCTAAATCATTTCTCCCTTAACTGAAAAATAGTTGATTAGAGGCAGGAAGTAAGCAAGTTGCTAGCAGCAGAGCAGCAAATGAAACCTAAATTCTCCGATCTTGATGATGTATGACACCTTTATAAGATTTCAATGCTAAAATGCTAACGCAGTCAATATATTGGCTACTTCTTATATTTGTTTCTTGTGACAAATTACTGCAGACGTAGAAACTTAAAACAGTAGAAATATATTCTCTCATAGTTCTGGAGACCAGAAGTCTTAAATCAGCATTACTGAGTCAAAATCAATGTCTCAGCAGAACCGCACACCCGTTACAGGTTCTAGGGGAGAACCTATGCTTTGTCTCTTCCAGCTTCTAGTGATGGCCACATTCTTCAGCTTGTGGCCACATCATTCCCACCTTCCAGTCCAGCAGCACTTTTCCATCTGTTTCATACTCACATCAGCTATGTGTTTGTGAAATCTCTTCTGCCTCTCTCTAAGGACACTTCTGAAGGCATTTGGGGCCCACCTGCATGATTTCCCATCTCACGATCCTTAACTTAATTACATCTACAAAGATGCTTTTTTCCAAATAACATAACATTTGCAAGTTGCAAGTATTAGGACTTCATAGATTTCATAGGGGTAACAAGGACATTATCCTACTAATCATATTAATTATATTTAGCCATATGTAAAACAACAACAACAACAAAAAAAAACAAGTCTACCGGACATTGATCTGTCAACTTTTTCTCTTGGCATAATATGACAAATCTAAAATTACATAAAATGTATAAAGACAACCATAGAAAAAGTAATTGTTTTCGCCTGTCCAACATCCACCCTTTTTTATGCAGCTGCAAAAGGCAATTATATAAAGCAGCCTTCAGCTTTGTATTGTCCTGCACAATAAAATATGTGCTGTGCCCGTCTCCAGCCTTTGTAGGGCTACAGCCTTTGCAGCAGAGACTTGACACCTACTGAGGAGCCTCATCCGTGCATATAAATAGTATGGGATGGTCATGGTCCCCTGCTCTGAGAATTGTGCGCTTGTGCTTTAAGCCAGGGTTTAGAAAGAAAAAACAAAAGCCACACCTGTTGATTTCTCCTGTGATTGCATTTTTTAAAACTCTAAATATGAGTGATACTTCTACTCTGGTCAGCATGCAAGCATGGCAATACTTAGGTTGCCTTAATGGGGTCTCAGACAGAAAATCTATAAGGTGGCTTTAAGGGACATTAATTTTATGCTACTTCCCAATCCTGAAAAAAATCCATTCCAAAGTGCTTTTACATGAACTAAAAAGATAAAGGCTTATTCTTTTTCCAGTAGCTACATGAAATGTTGAAGTACTGTATTAATTTTAAAAGAACATAGGTTTGCTTCTCCGAACACGTATCTCTATGTCTTCTACTATGAGCTGTTATTTGTTTGCATGTGCCTTTATACCTACTGGAAAACTGAACTCAACTTAAATAAGCCAAAATTAGATACTATTGTGGCCCCTCTTTCCCCATCATCATTCACCAGGTAATGTTATAAGCAGTAAGTCCTAATGGCATAGGGCTGTGTCTCATGTTTGTGTTCCTCCAAAATTCACAGGTAGAAATCCTAAGCCCCAAAGTGATGGTACTGAGAGGTAGGGCCTTTGGGAGGTAATTGAGTCAGGAAGGCACAGCCCTTTTGAATGGGATTAAGGCCTTTGTAGAAAAGACCCCAGGGCGCACCCTGGCCCCTCCTACCACGTGACGACACAGCAAGAAGGTGCCATTTATGAACCTGGAAGTCATTCTCCCACCAGACACCCAGTCAGTTGGCATCTTGATATCAGATTTCCAGCCCCTAAAACTGTGAGGCATGGCCAAGAGCAGTGGCTCATGCCTGTCATCACAGCACTTCTGGAGGATCAGGCAGGCAGATCACGAGGTCAGGAAATCGAGACCATCCTGGCCAATATGGTGAAACCCCGTCTCTACTAAAATACAAAATATTGGCCGGGCGCGGTGGCTCAAGCCTGTAATCCCAGCACTTTGGGAGGCCGAGACGGGTGGATCACGAGGTCAGGACCCAATCCAGACCATCCTGGCTAAAACACGGGTGAACCCGTCTCCTCTACTAACAAAACTACACAACTAGCCAGGCGAGATGGCGGCGCGCCTGCTATCCCCCGCGCCCTCGGCGCGCCTGCAGCGGCGCGGCGCCTCGGTGCCCCAGGCCGGCGGAGCTTGCAGTCGAGCTGAGCTCCGCTCGCACTCCAGCCTGCCGGCGAGCCGACGCTCCCCGTCTCCAAAACAATAACTACAATACAAACACTACCTTCGCCATCCCGCTATCCACGTAGCCGCCCCTGTACCTCGCAAGCTACTCACAGGCTGAGGCAAGGGGAATCGCTGAACAGCCGAACCTCGCGCGGTCTCTGGGCCGCTGGCCAACTCAGCACCACCTCGTCGCACTGCACTCTAGCCGGTAACAGAGTGAGACTCGCATCTCAAACAACACAAACAAAAATGGCTGACGGCTATCTTCTGCTTGTGTCTACTGCACTGTCTCAGACTTTGCTCGTACGCAGCCTGAAAACTACAGACGAACGTTTCAACGCCCTATATTCCATCAACAATCATTTACTAATTACTTTATCAAGCTTAGCACCCCACGCGAGGACACTCCGCGCCCTCAAGTCAACCGGTACACTCTCCGCCTTCTGAACCAGCTTATTGAACTCATTCCTCGTTACGGCAGTTCCAGCCATCTGCAGAAATCATTTTACAAGTAACTATGTCTCTGAGGTCAAAAGCAGAAAGAGCAGATCTAGCTATTCAATAAAGGTTTGGCCATGTAAATGAGCATGTGGTATCTATTGAATCTTGGTATCCTCTTTTATTTCTTCAGAGGAAACACAACACAAATTATTAGGCAATAGCCTAGAGTCTAGAAATGGATCAATACTTTGTCAGGTTCCTTCCAATACCACTGAAGGCAAGGCCATCCCCATTAACCTGCTCAATTAACCCAGCTGTTCACATCCCATACCTGCTGTGGTCACTAAACATGACTCCAGATCACACTCTGCTTCCATATTCTCTTCTAATTCTTCCACTATCTGTTTTTCTTCCATGTTTGTCAATGTCTAATGAGGAAATACATTGGTGGGCTGACCTAGGCATTCAGATATAAGAGAAGTTTTAGTTTTATAATGAATTCATTTATTTATTTATTTACTTATTTATTTTATTTTTTGAGATGGAGTCTCACTCTGTTGCACAGGCTGGAGTACAGTGGCGTGATCTTGGCTCACTGCAACCTTCACCTCCCAGCTTCAAGTGATTCTCTTGCCTCAGCCTCCCGAGTAGCTGGGATTACAGGTGTATACCACCATGCCTGGCTAATTTTTTTTTTTTAAGTAGAGACTCAATTTCACCAGGTTGGCCAAGCTGGTCTCGAACTCCTGACTGCAAGTGATCCACCCACCTCAGCCTCCCAAAGTGCTGAGTGAGCCACTGGGCCCAGTCTTCTAATGAATTTTAAAATCAGCATTCTAGTTTAAACCACAGTCTCCCATAAGTTTAGGGGGCTCAATCAACCACTGAGTCCTGACAGACATACAACTCAGGTTCAGAAACCTACAAAGTTGAGAATCAGTCCGTGGAATATGGTGACCACACCAAGGCTGTGCCATCATGAAGTCTCACCCAAGAGATCAGCTTTCCCAGGCATCTATTCATCTCCAATCATTGATACCACCGTGGACTCATTCAAGGAATGTGTATTAAGTGCCTACTGGGTGCCAGGCGCTGCATTAGAAAGCTCAGCAGCAAAAATGGTTTGCATGATCCTTGCTCTCAAGAAGTTTGCTGTCTACGAACAGTAAGGATGTAATACTTTAAACAAAAAATATGAACTAGAACCTAAAGAACTGAGTAGGAGTTGGCTATGAAAGTGAATTTAAAGGTTTGCCAGGTGGAGAAAAGAGCATAAAGACTGTGATGTGGAAAAGAGCCAGATGCATGCAGAGAGAAGAAAGAAGTCTGAAGCTCAGTGAGAGGAAAGGAGAGTCGCAAGAGGCCCAGAGACAGTGGGAGAGGCAGGCATAGGCCAGGCCGTGCTGGGCACGATTAGCAGGTCATGTCAGAAATTCTCTACTTTGTTCTAGATTCAACTGAACACTTTGAAAGGACTTAATCCTTCTAAATCATGTCAAGATATTGTTTGATTGGGACCCATGATGACCAGCTCCTATCCCATCTACCTATTATCATTCTGCATTTCTAACAGATAAACAGAAAATAAAGACAAGGAGGAGGCGATCTCTCTCTCTTGTTCTCAACAAGCAGAGGTTGTCATAAATGGCAATGCAGTCCCTATGAACCATATTCAGCCAGCAGTTAAGTTGAATGTAAACTTTTTGAGTAAATTAGGGTGCTTTAAATAAGACACCCCTCTCCAAGTTGCCCACAGGCCCCAACACTCCCTACTGTCTTGTAGATCACCTGCTGCAGTCATTCATTTTACCCTCCTTGCTTCCAAAACCCTTTGAGTTTGCAATCCGTCTTAGTCAGTTTTGTGCTGCTGTAACAGAACAGCAGAGACTGGGTAATTTATAATGAACAGAAATGTATTGGCTTACAGTTCTGGAGGCTGGGAAATCCAAGATCAAGAGGCTAGCATCTGGCAAGGGCCTTCTTGCCGCATCATAACATGATGAAAGGCAGAAGGGCAAGAGAGTGTGTGAGAGAGAGCAGTGGAAGGGGGCCAAACTCATCCTGTTGCCAGGAGCCTGCTCTCACAGTAACTCACTCACTCCCATCATGATGGCATCAACCTCGTCAGGACCCACCTCCCAACACTGTTGCCTTAAGGA